CGTCTTCCCCCCTTCCAAGATACACTGTTAAATGAAGAATGCAGAATTGAAGCACTTACAGGGCAGAATTTTCAGTGTAACCTGCATTCATAAAGAAAGATGAGTATTTGTATCTGCTTTTCCTAAAGAAGTATTTAACTGTGGGAAATTAACTCTGAGTGCAGAGCCATGGTGTTTCAATTTTATTTTCCTCTTTCCTTTTGGACTATATGTTAACTTCCACAATTTTTTAAACTAAGAAAGGTGCATTGTCCTCTCAATCAAAACAGGTTGGTATTTATTTTATTATTATTTGAGACAGGACCGCTCTATATAGCATTGACTGTCGTGAACTGGCTGTGTAGACCAGGCTGGCCTCAGACTCACAGATTCACCTGCCCAGCCTCCTGAGTGCTGGGATTATAGGTGTGCACCACACCTGGCCAGATTATTTTAGACATGTGGTGCTTCCATCCTTGGTCATATAGTCCAATACAATGGTGCCATAGGATCCCCAGGTCCTGCTCAGTGTCTACTTGCCTAGCTAGGACGCCCATGTACCTTTCAGCTTCATTATTTTGTAATCACGTCTCCTCACTTCTGGCCATACCGCCATCCTCAGAAGGGCATGTCTCCATGGAGTGACCGAACAGGGCCTAGGGGACCATGGGTAATGAGTGTGGGATGGGGTTTAGGATCTTTGGGCCGGAAGCTCTGGGCTTTGGGCAAAGAGTGGCAGAGCAGGGAAGGGCCGGTTTTCTCTGGACTGTGTTGAGGTCTTATGAGCATAAGTTGTTTTTTTCTCTCTTTTTTCTTTTTTCCCAGAGAGAGTGGGAATATCCCAGGTTGGATTTGAACTCATGATGCTCCTGCCTCTGTCACCATGCTTGGGTTTTCTAAGTTCTTCCCTAGGCTCCTTTTTGAGACAAGGTCTCACATAACCAAGGTTGGCTTCAGATTTGCTCTGTAGCAGATGATGACACTGAGTTCCTGATCCTCTTGCCATACCGAGCTCTGGGATGTTAGATGTGGACCACCACACCCAGCTGTTGCTTTTGTTTTAGTGGGACACTGGCACATGACGTAGGCTGCCCTGGAATTTGCGATATAGCCCAGACTGGTCTTGAACATGAATCAAGATCACACGTACACACCATGCCTGACTTCTCCACAAGGTCTCTTGAGTGGGAGATACCAGTTTTATTATGCTTTTGCCTGTGCCTAGGACAGTCATATCTCCCCCTTCATCATCTTTTAGGTATTTTAAGCACCCAGACTCTTCCTCGCCCACTGCCCCATCCATGTGAAACCCCTTAGGTCAAGAGACATCTGTCTGACCCAAGATGGGGTTGTAGACTCAACATCATGTGCACAAGCAGGAAGACTGCCAAGGAAGGCACAAACTTTTTGTGGTTCCTTGGTGCCCAGGGGTAGTAGCCTCCTTCCCAGCCTTAGTGCCTCAGAACCCTGGTATCATTGGTCTCGGACACCACTTTGCCATCCACGACCTTGCGGGTGGTTGTCCTCTGAATGGTTTGCATGGAGTTACTGGAGTCCAGGGCATCGCTGAGACTGTAACAGATGATGAAGCCTTAGTTATAAGCAGCCCCACAGAGTAGAAAGGAGACCAGAAATTCAGAAGTTTTCCCTGATCCATGTCTTTACTTCCAAACTCTCCCCAGCCATTTCTTCCAGAAAAGGGAAACTCAAGGCTGAATGATCCCAAACACAGCTAGGGGCAATACTTAGTCACTCTTTCTCACGAGATAGAACCTTTACTGTCCTGAAGCCACTGCTCAGGAGTTACCAATAAACAGACAAACCCTGGGACTTCCCAGAGTTCCAAAGGTGGAGAAAAGACCCTCACTTGTGTGGCTAGGAGAATCCCACTCACCTGAAGTCTTCGCCATCCTCCAGCAAGCGACGGTAGGTCGCAATCTCAGACTCAAGCTTGACCTTGATGTTCAGCAGGGCTTCGTATTCCTGGGTCTGGCGCTGCCCCTCTGCCCGGGTTTGTGCCAGCTCTGACTCCAGGTGCAAAAGGACCCCGTTGAGCTGCTCCATCTGCATGTTGTATCGGGCCTCCACATCCCTAAGGCTGTTCTCCAAGCTGATTTTCTGCAGGGCAAAGAAAGATAGGAGGGTGAGTCCCAAGTGCTAGTTCGCTCAGCCTTTCCTTCTCTGACAGGGCCGTCAGGACCACTTGTCTGTCAATACTAGGTTCCAGTGCAGGAGGAAATGGGAAACACAGAGAAGTGATTCGTCTTAGGGGTCTCTTGATTATGTGTGGAGGAGGATTGGGGGCAAGACAGTGGGGCTGAGGCCGAGTGTCAGAGATCCGGGTTCAAAGGAACTTCAGTAGGTGACTCTCACCTGATTTTTCATGGCATCTAGGTCAATCTCCAAGGCCTGGAAGGTGCGCCTCAGGTCTGTGAGTGTGGTCTCAGCATCTCTGATTTCTGCAGACTGGGTAGTGACCACTGTGGTGCTCTCTTCAATCTGCAGGGTCCCCGGGGAGGGTCAGTCAAGACCTGCCTTCCTTGGCAGCCTCCCCCTCACACCCTGGCAACCAGCCTTTCCTCTTGCATACCTGCTGGGACCAGTACTTGTCTAGTTCCTCACGGTTCTTCTGAGCCAGCTCCTCATACTGGGCCCGGATATCAGCCATGATCTTGCTGAGGTCCTGAGATTTGGGGGCATCCACTTCCACGGTTAATCCAGAACTGGCAATCTGGGCTTCCAGTCCTTTAACTTCCTGAAGAAGGCAGAAATGGGGGAGAGGGCACCTAAGAGGGGGCACTGAAGGTCAGAGTTCCTCACTGAGGGTCTTTTTCTAGGAGGCAGTGATAGGAATGATGGGAGTGGAGGAAACCTTGGACTTGCACCTGGCAAGGCTGGATCAGGGCTTCTGCTCCTTCATTGTTGGACCCTGCCCGTTTCCTCTCCATCTTATGGCCCCACCCTCCTCTCTCACACCTTATCTTAAACCTCTTCCAGAAGCCCTACCAGCTCCACCATCTGCCCATGTCCTAAGATTGGCAACTCTGCCTTCCTCTCCATCTCCTCTCACTCACCCAGGCTGGCAATGCATCAACTCTCCTGCCTCAGCTTTCCAAGTGGTAGGGCTGCAGGTCAGGTATACTATTATGAGGTCAAGACAATGTGGGCTAACTTGGGTGAGCCATAGAACATATATGATCCACTGGGTTTGCTCTTAATCAGAACAGGCTGATAACCCAGGCTCGTGGCTCTAATTTCCACGCGAGGCTGCTTTTTGGGGCAGCCTGGCCTCCCAGCAGCCTAACTCGCCTCCTCATGGTTCTTCTTCATGAACAGAAGTTCCTCCTTGAGGGCTTCGATTTCTGTCTCCAGCTGCAGCCTCGTGATGTTGGTGTCATCCACTACCTTTCGGAGTCCATGGATGTCACTCTCCACAGACTGGCGCATGGTCAGTTCTGTCTCATACCTGAAGGAGTGGAGGTGATCAGTGGGTCCCATCCGACCAGTGCCACCTCCCTAGCCTAGTCTTGTACCCATCACAAACCAGTTGTCTGGGTCAGGCATCATTCTTGACTGTGAGGAGCAGTAGGCTTAAACTGGGCTGCATGAATTAATAGTTGAATGACCACTCAATGGACCCTCACCTGAATAAGCCTCTGCAAGGAACCCTCACCCACCCAACTTGGGCCCTGGAGCAGACCATTCTTCGCTCTAGCTGCAGCCTCAGACTTACTTGACTCTGAAGTCATCAGCAGCAAGTCGAGCATTGTCGATCTGCAGGACGATGCGGGCATTGTCCACAGAATTCGCAAAGATCTGGGTGGATTAAAGCAGAAGATTGAGGTGAGAGTGCCAGGTTTTTTTTTTGTGTGTGTGTGTGTGTGTGTGTGTGTGTGTGAGAGAGAGAGAGAGAGAGAGAGAGAGAGAGAGAGAGAGAGAGAGAGAGATAGATTTCTTCTGTTTCAGTGAACCCGGCCCAGTCCCCGGAACCTCCAGAGGCTAGGGCTCCCATCTACCCTTCCCACCTGTGCCTCCGCTCCCTTCCTGGATTCCTGGCACCTTGCCCCTCTGCCTAGGCCTGTACTATCCGGCCTACAAAGGAGCAGCTTCTAACAACTCTCTCCTCCCACCCTTTCCCGGCTTTTTCTCCAGGTGCACCTGTTAAGCCCCTGTTCTGGGCCTCCCCCTCATAGGCCCCTCCCACAGGTAGCCTCCTGTTTACCTCTAGATGACTCAGCCTTAGCTACATCCGTTTAACCCTGTGACTGTCCCCACTGAAAAAGAAATGAGTGTCTGGGTCTAATTTATGGCTCTCTTTTTCTTTTTTTTTTTGAGATTCTCAGTACTGTTCCCTTCCCACTACACCCTGTAGGGGAAGCCAACTCCCGTGTGTATCCACTACCCTTGGAATTCCTAGGTTGTGGGTGGGAATCCGAAGTACTCCTAATTTCGTCCCAGCCAGCGTGGGGACGGATGTGAAAAGAGCGGAAGGGGTCAACCACGCACACACTATTAAATTTTTTTTCGGGGGGGGGCACTGGATGACCAGAATGGCTCCTCCCCCCCATGTCCTTACCTGAGCCCTCAGGTCCTCGATGGTCTTGAAATAGTGGCCCCAGTCCTTGATGCCCTGGGACCCCTTCTTCTCCAGATGTTCCCGGATTTTGCTGTCCAGTCTCCTGTTCTCGGTCTCCAGGCTCTTCACCCTGTCCAGGTAGCTGGCCAGGCGGTCGTTCAGGTCTTGCATGGTCTCCTTCTCGGTCTGGATTCCACCCATCCCAACCAGACCTGCAGACCCCACGGAGCCACCCCAGACGCTTGAGGAGCGGGCCACGGAGATCCGGGAACCGGAGCCCCCAGCACCTGCATAGACGCTGGCCGCGCTGCTGGCAGGCCGGACCCGCTGGCTGGGCGTCCGCACAGATCCCAGGGACCTGTAGTTGGTGGAAAACGTGGTGGAGCGGGTGGTGAAGCTCATGTTGTCTGGAGAGGAGAGCGAAGCGAGAGACCGGGACAGGGGTTCCGACGGCCGTAGAGAGTGGCAGCCCTCGACCTGTTATATCGCTGAGGGAAAGAGGAGGGGACCTTCTTTGCAGGCCCCGCCCCCGCCCCCGGAGCCGCGGGCGCCAAGAGCGCGCGACTCCTGTGACCTACCTGGTCGCAGCCCTTCTTGGCCCCATCACGTGCTCTCAGCACTGTACGCTACCCTCAGCGCCCAGGAAGGGGGTGGCTAATCAGGGGCACGAAGGATAGCAGGTGGTGTTAGCCTTTGCTTTTTAGGGCAGGATATAGCGCTTTTAATACCTTTTGCACAGTTAGAAGAGATGTCCACTAGGGCGAAGATTTTGTAGAGTGTTCTTAGCTTAAGTCGGAGGACAGCCCTGGAGCCCCAGGAGTCCTGGGGGAAGAAAAGCTGGGAGCTCAAGAAGAGGAAGAGAGTGGCTGGAGGGCTGGTTCAATGATTGAGAACATTGACCAGGGTTCAATTCCCAGCACCCACAAGGCAGCTCACAACTTCTGAAACTCTAGTTCTAGGGTACCCGACACCCTCACACATGCAGGCAAAACACCCGTTCACATAAAAAAATTGATAAATAAATAAAGAGGAGGAGAAATACGATCCTGAGCGCTCCAGGTCTCTTGGTTTTCACATTCTGGTCTCACGGCCCTGGGTTTCCAGACAGTGCTGTGGCTCTGTCCATTGCTAAACACGTGTATGTGTGGAACTGTGGAAATCTATATTCTCAAAACAGGAATGCACTTCCTCGGAACACATTTCCTTAAGTAGCTCCTGTACTGTCTCTGAACACCCTCTGTAGCTCAGGCTGGTCCTGAACTTTCTATGTAGCCAAGGATGGCCTTCAGCCCCTGATCCTCCTGTTCCTGTGATCACAGGCATGAGATATCACATCGAGTTTATGGGGTGCAGAGGATCAAACTCAAGGCCTCATATTTGACATCAGCACTCTGCTTGCTGAGTACACCCCCAGCCCAAGAGCACTTACAATTTAACCAGTATTTGCTGGACACTGACTGTGTGTCACGCCCTTTCTAGTAGCCATGGGAAGAAAGCAGGGGAAAGAGAGCACTGTCTGTCCTGCAGACCACACTGTGTCTGGATAGGCTGGGATCTGAGAAGACAGCTGCATAGAAACACCTGGCTAGGCTTGAACCAGATGGCTTTTCTCTCTATCCCCCCACCCCCCCTGCTCACACTGGCCCCTCCTCCTGCTCCCTGGGCCTTCTTTCTTTCCTGGTCAGTCTTCATAATGATCCCCAAATTTCCATCTTGTTCCTTGGAGAAACCCCCAAACTTGTGCAACACCCCAGCCCCCACCAGCTCCTGAATGAAGATGGAGAAACCCCGAGGGTCGGCCCTGGGATCTGTCGCACCTACGGCTGTGCTCTTTGCTCTGGAGTGGACTTATTGATCCTTATCGAGCGACCAGCTGAACTGACTCTGTGGGCAGACAGGAAAGTAAAACAGGGAGAGAAAGGGGCCCTAGAATGAGTCCAGGTCAGCAGATCAGGCGGAGGCAGGGTGTGAACGGATTGTTCCAAGCCTACCTCCTCGGGATGGGAAAACCCTGGAGGACCCCGGGAGCTGGCTGTGGAGGCTGGGCGTTGCCAGAGACAGCCAGGCAAATGGATGCAAACTAACATGCAAACAAATGCCCACTGGCTTTGCATGAAGACTTCTTGGGGGTTGGAGATTCCAGCCAGTGAAAGGGGCTTTTAATCTTACAAATTCTCCCACTGAATTCCACAACTGTCCTATTTTATGGGACCATACATTGAAGTGTACTGGTTAAATGTTCCATGAACAGGTTCTGCTGTTTTTTTAAGCTTTAAGTTATCCAACTTGGGCACTTTGCGGGTTGGGTGACCTCAGAAAGTCACTTAACTGAGCTTTTTTTTTTTTTCTTTCACTTCTTTGGGGAGGAAAATAGCCAACAACTGCCTGTCTAGTCTTCTGGTAGGCGAAGCATGGGATTGTTAATCACAATGCTCCTTCTTAAACAAATAGGAATTACTGCAGAGTAAGGCCTCATTCGGGAGGGTATAAGGAGGGACTCCAGGAGGCCTCAAATCACGGAGGATCACTGGGGGACTTTTGAGTTTTTTCAGTAGTGACTCCAGGACCCTAGGATTTTTCTGTAAGCCCCTTGGTAAATCCTGCTCTGATCTTGCCCCACCCCTGAAGCGCTGACCCTTCTGTGGTGGGGAAGTTTGCAGTGGGGCCGGAGAGCTGCAACGTCTCCTTATCTCACTTAGCCGGTTGCATTCCTGACCTCTTGCAGCATGGAGCAAATACCGATCGCAGGAGTTCAGTGCCAGCTTGCCCCTTCCCCGCAGTTCCGGATTCCTCTGTGATCGGGCCTAAAAACTCAGCCTGACAGTGGGCGCGCTGGGGAGAGGGGCTCGCAGGGTGGGGTGGGGGAGATAGTTTCATTCCAAGATCCCTAGGACTGGGCGTCTGGCCTGTGGGTGGGGGCAAGGAGAGAAGGGACTGGGGTAGCAGCGGAACCAAGCTGGGGAGAGGGAGAGGCGAGAGCGGTCAGCCGAGAAGCGCTGAGAACAAAGAGTGAAAAGAGGGGGGTTGAGCGGTGGGGTGAGGGTGGGGGAGAGAGTGGGGGAGGGTAAAGGAAGTGGTTCCCTTCCCCAGGCCCTACATTCCCTTGTCCCGCCGAGGGGGAGGAAACCTGCAACGCAAGTTTAACTGGGAGAAAGCTCGGTGGTGACTGTGGGGTGGGCGGGGTCGTCCTCCTTGCACGTAGGCGCACTCTCCTTTTAAGGGCTAGAGCCATGCTCCGTGCAGACTAGATAGTGGGAGATTAGAGGATTAGCGTTGTGAGGGTCTGGAGTTAGAAGGCCCAGAGATTGTTATCAGTCTGGCTATTTCCCTGGCCCAGCCCTGAGAGGAGCTGGGGTGGAGGATGGGGGGGGATGGGGGTGGAGGGTCTTCAGAAAGTCATTCCAGGTCTGTGTGGTGGGGTCTCTACTGTGAGTGCAAGGCTGGTTCCATCATCTTTCTTCAACTCAGGGATCAGCCTCTAGGCCTCGGGGAGAGCTGGGATCAAAGGAGTGTGTCCTATGATTATTTATTCCGTTTGAGACAGTTTCAAACTGTAGCCCAGCTGGCCCCAAATTTATGATCCTCCTGAGTGCTGAGATTGCAGGTGACATCACACCCAACCTGAGCCTCTCCTTGAAGTGGCTCAGTGTTGGGGGAAAATAGAGACTTTGTGGTGGGGGATGAGAGTGTTAGAGGGGCAAGGCGATCCAGTTTCCTCAGAGGAGGAGTTTTGGCAGCACTCTGAGACCTGGAGCAATGAGGTGGAACTTTGGGTAAAATGCGTTTGGTGTAGAATGGACTTGGAGGGGGAGCTCAGTAGATGGTTTGGGTTTTAAACCGTTATTGAAAAGGATGAGCTGGGCATTGTGGCACGAACCTGTGATGCCAGCGCAGAAAGAGGTGAAGGCAAGAGGATTTGGAGTTTCAGGCTAGCCTCGGCTGTGTGAGTACCTGCCTAACAAAACAAACAAGTACAATCGCTGCTGGGTGTAGCTGGGATGGCAGAATGCTTGGTTAGCTGTCGGGAAGCCCCAGTGATGGATGCAGGAGGATCCGGCATTCGAAATACATAGGCAACTTGAAGCCAGCCTAGGCCACCAGGATATCTTGTCTATAATAACATAAAGTAGTGTTCTAGAGAGTCAGGAAGTATGGTTGAGTAGACTGGAGAGAGCCTGGGGGGGGGGGGAGGCGAAATGTGCGGCTTCAAGTGCAGCAGGGGACACTGAGGAAGGACCTTCAGAACTCTCTGGGGCTGTCCTCCCTGTTGAAGTCCTAGGGCAGTTTGTGCATGGTAGAGTTGGGGTGGGGTTCTGAGGGCTCCATTTGGGCATGCTCCCCTGGAGTGGGAGTGTGGGGGCACTTTCAGTATTATTGCTTCGGTTGTTCGTATCAGAGGGTTCTTCCTAGGGTTAATGCTGAGGAGTACCTGCATGCCTGCTAGAGTTCTCCGGGTGCTGAGGAGTGCCTGCTAGAGTTTTCTAGGTGCTGAAGCTGAGAGAAGAATCCTAGGAGCTTCCATGGCCTCTGCTCTCCACTCCAGCCCCCTTCACTAGGGTGACTTTGCCAGATGTCATGTTCTCTTCTTCCCTTCCCTTCCTGAACTCCAGTGAACTTGTCCTGGAACTCACTCTGTAGACCTGGCTGGCCTCACTCATGTCTCTGCCTCCTGAGTGCTGGGATTAAAGACGTGCTCCACCACACCCGGCAAATGACATAATCTAAAGCAAACTGTCTTAGCTTTGGTGTCCAGCAGTGGCAATGTGGTACTAAGATTGAGTCTGCAGAGAAGAGGATGAAATGGGACAGTAGGGTGGTCAAGGATCCTTTCTTAAAATTGTGTAGTAAATTTTCTGTGACTGATACCTTTTCCTGCTGCCTCTAGATTCGGCAGAGCTACAGGCAAACCTGGACAGATTGCCTTTTAAGTACCTAGAAAACCAGAGCCGGTGCTTGGAAGAACATGCAGTAGTAGCAGGTGTGACTGGCATTCATGCAAGCTGGAAAGAGGCAATGTTTCCCGTGTCCTTGGTTGGGGGTCCTAGAACTCTGCACAGCACCATGCATAGCCCTTTCTGCAACCAATGGCTGAGAAGATTGGGATAGAACCTAAGTGCGATGCAAAGGAAAGAAACAGGGGTGACGGAGACTGGCCTGTGAGCTGACGCATCTGTACAGCAGGGGTGACGGAGACTGGCCTGTGAGCTGACGCATCTGTAAAGCAGGAGTGACGGAGACTGGCCTGTGAGCTGACGCATCTGTAGAACAGGGGTGACGGAGACTGGCCTGTGAGCTGACGCATCTGTAGAACAGGGGTGACGGAGACTGGCCTGTGAGCTGACGCATCTGTAGAACAGGGGTGACGGAGACTGGCCTGTGAGCTGACGCATCTGTAGAACAGGGGTGACGGAGACTGGCCTGTGAGCTGACGCATCTGTAGAACAGGGGTGACGGAGACTGGCCTGTGAGCTGACGCATCTGTAGAACAGGGGTGACGGAGACTGGCCTGTGAGCTGACGCATCTGTAGAACAGGGGTGACGGAGACTGGCCTGTGAGCTGACGCATCTGTAGAACAGGGGTGACGGAGACTGGCCTGTGAGCTGACGCATCTGTAGAACAGGGGTGACGGAGACTGGCCTGTGAGCTGACGCATCTGTAGAACAGGGGTGACGGAGACTGGCCTGTGAGCTGACGCATCTGTAGAACAGGGGTGACGGAGACTGGCCTGTGAGCTGACGCATCTGTAGAACAGGGGTGACGGAGACTGGCCTGTGAGCTGACGCATCTGTAGAACAGGAGAGACGGAGACTGGCCTGTGAGCTGCTTGCTGCTAAGACTAAAAATCTGAGTTCAATCCCTGGAACTCACATAGCAGAAGATGTTAACAAACTCTGCAAATTGTCTTCTGACCTCCATATGTGTGTGTACTCACAAATACATATATAATATAAATATAAAAATGATTACATGGGGGGCTGGAGAGATGGCTCAGAGGTTAAGAGCGTTGTCTGCTCTTCCAAAGGTCCTGAGTTCAATTCCCAGCAACCACATGGTGGCTCACAACCATCTGTGATGGGGTCTGGTGCCCTCTTCTGTCCTGCAGGCATACACAGACAGACTATTGTATACATAATAAATAAATGAATAATTTTTTTTAAATGATTACGTGCTGGCCTGGCAGTATATATCGTTGATTCCAGCACACGAAAGGAAGAGACAGGAGGATTTCTGTGAGTTCAAGACCAGTCTGGCCTGCGTAGTGAAACCCTATCTTAAAATCAATCAATCCATCAATCAAGTCTTCATAAAAGAAGGTCGTAAAGTGATAGGGAATGGTGGAGAGCTTGCCTAACACATATAAGGCCCTGGGCTTCATTCCTTGTACCACAACAGGACAAAACATCAGATTGTTGAGAAGGAAACAGGTAGACATCCATGCCCCTGGAGGTGGCAGGGTGAGCGGAAGGTTTCCCCGGCGAGTGTGGCAATGCCCAGCGAGGCTGCTCGGCCGTCACAGAGAGCAGTGCACTGAGGCTTGCTGCTATTCAAGTGAGTCTCGAGGTAATGGAAGTTGGGAGAACCCTGATCGCAGGTAAGGGTCTTGAGGAGTGACAGCATTGGCTGGTGGCAGAGCTGTGACTCAGGTTCCGGCCATGTTTCTGCCCCTCCTCTAATAGGAAGCATGAGGGAGGTTGACGTGGCAGCTGCCACCAGCTGGGTAAAACCAGGGGAAGGAGCCAGGTGTAGTGGTGCCTGTCCGCAATCCCAGCACTGGAGAGGCAGAGGCAGGTGCATCTCCGAAATCAAGGCCAGCCTGGTCTACATAGAGAGTTCCAGGACAGGCTACACAGAGAGACCCCGACTCAAAAAAAAGTAGGAGGATCATGAGTTCAAGGCCAGTCTCGACTCCATTGCAAGCCTGAGACTAGCCCAGACCACAAGAGATTCTGTTTCAGGGGCTGGAGAGAGGGATCAACAGTTAAAGGCAGAGACTGCTCTTCCAGAAGAAGAGGTTCAATTCCTAGCACCAGCACCCATATGGCATCTGAAACCCCAGTTCCAGGGGATTTGGCACCTTCACACAGATATACATGCAGGTAAAACACCAATGCACATAAAAATATTAATAAATAAATCTTTAAAAAATAAAAACCCAAGTCAAAACAGTAGCAAAAAAGCAGTGCTACTATGGAAAGTTGGAGGGACCTGTGGGGGATGGGTGGGGGGATTATCAGAAGACTCTGGGATCTGAACAGGGTGACTAGAAAACACAGAAGGGACATTGTTGGGTAGCTCAGGCAGGCTGTCCTGTTTCAGGTTACAGGTGTGTACACCACCAAGCTTGGATTAAGCATTTCTCAAGTACTGGTTTGTGATTTACATATCTTCTTCCTCCTTATTCTCTTCTTTTAAAATCTCATTTATTTATTTATGAATGAAATAGAGTTCTGATCCATAATAAAAAATGATTTACTATACAACCTAGCCGGTCTGAAACTTTGAGGCAATTCTCTTGTCCCAGCCTCTCAAATGCTAGAATTGTAGATTTGAACTACCATGCCCAGGAAGTATTTCTTCCTTGATCTTACCACTCAAATCTTTAGCCCATCATAGAAAATTATGGGTTTAAAATTATGAAAATTTGAGGCTTTAATACATGTGTGTTATTTGTATATATAAAATATGTTATATGCATGTATATTAATGTGTATGTAAATATTAACATTCTTTGTAATATATGACTTACAATGTTTTTCCTCCCACTCAGTAATATCTTTTTATTCTTTTTGTTTGTGTCTTGTTTTTCAAGGCAGGTTCTCACTATGTAGCCCTAGCTGTACTGGAACTCAGATTAGGCAGGTCTAAAACGCACGGGGTTTCCTGTCTGTGCCTCCTGATGGGACTGAAGGTCTGTGGTTTATGCCCGGCTACTTTCTTCAAAATTTTTTAAAATATTTATTTATTTATTATGTATACAATATTCTGTCTGTGTGTATGTCTGCAGGCCAGAAGAGGGTATTAGACCTCCTTACAGATGGTTGTGAGCCACCATGTGGTTGCTGGGAATTGAACTCAGGACCTCTGGAAGAGCAGGCAGTGCTCTTAACCTCTGAGCCATCTCTCCAGCCCCTCTTCAAATTTTATCATATTAATTAGTTAGGTGTCTCTGAGTACTGTGATGGGCACCCTCTGTAGAGAACCTGTGGAGGTCAAAGGACAGCTTTCAAGGATGGTTTATTTCCTTTCGTCATGTGGATCATCGGGCTTGGAGGCAAGGACCAAACTCAAGTCATCGGGCTTGGAGGCAAGAGCCGTTATCGCCGGGGTCATCTTGCTAGCCCAATCCTTTTCTTCTCTTAACAATGATTTTTAATAAGAAGTTCTTAATTTTTGTTGTCCCTTTGGTTTTTGAGACAAGGTCTCATTTATCCCAGGCTAGCTTTGAATTTACTACGTAGCGTAGCTGAGGATGACCTTGAACGTCTAATCTTCCTGCCTCCACTTCCACTACCAACAAAACAATATACACCTCTTAAAATGACAGTAGCACGTCCTTGCACATGTAAGGCGGACCAGGCACTGCACTTCACAGGGATCACATTGCTTGATCTAGACTGGGGAAGCACGTTCTTGTGTCTGGACGTCAGGCAGACCCAGGCTTCTGGTTTTGGAGCAGGGGTTGCTGTACACAAGGCAAGGATCAAGGGAGGCGATAAGGCTTAGACAGTGGTGTTACAAAGCAATTTCAGTTTGGAACCTGTTCTGTGATGAGATGCCATGACCAACTTGGGGAGGAAAGGATTTATTTTATCCTACACTTTCACATCAGAGACTATCGTCGAAGGAAGTCAGAGCAGGAACTCAAAGCAGGAACTGAATCAGAAGCTGTAGAGGAATGGTCCTTACTGTCATGCTTGGCCTTCTCTCTGGGATGGCAGTGCACATGGTGGGTGAGGGCTCTGCCACATCAATTATTAATTATGAAATGCCGTACACATTTGCCTAGAGGTCAATCTTATGGAGGCATTTTCTCAATTAAGATTTTCTCTTCCCAGGTATACTTGGGTTTGTGTCAAGCAGACAGAACAACTTAGCATAGCACCCACAGATTTGAGGTGAGATACCCAAAGGACCACTGAAACACAGCTGTGCAGCTCCCATTGGGGTTCAGAGATGTTTGCCATGCAAGGATTACGCAGAGGAAGAGAGATGAAGGCAGATCCTAATAGCTGCTGTGTATGTGTTTCTGAGTCTCTATATGTGTGTGTGTGTGTGTGTGGTTCCTGAGTTACTAGCTGTTAGCCTGTGTGTGTGTGTGTGTGTGTGTGTGTGTAGGAGAGGTTCCTAAGTTACTAGCTGTTAGCCTCTGTGTGTGTGTGTGTGTGTGTGTGTGTGTGTGCGTAGGGGGGTTCCCCGAGTCACTAGCTGGTGGGAGCTGGTAGGGGCTGCAGACCCAGACCCTGAGTTTCCTGTAAACAACCTGTGTTCCTTTGCTCTGAGCAGACTCTGATGGCAGGGGAGTGGTTTCTGATGGTCTGCTGCTGAAAGATCCAGAGAGCTGGGGTGTGGCCAGAGCCCTATATAAAGTGCCCCTGAGCTCCATAAAGTTGGCATTCTTGTGTCAAGGATGACCCATGGCGGCGTCTCTCTCTGTCTGTCTCTGTCTCTGTGTTTGTCTATGTGTTTTTAAGTCTCCATGCCAGTTCCAGGCTTTAGTGAAGGGCTACAGGACCGGCAGTTTTGCAGGCAGGTTTTTACAACTAGCTGTTCGTGGTGCATGTCAGAGTTTTAAAGGGCACATGGTCTGCCAAAAAGTGCATTATTAAGAATGATGGTTGGTGCCGGGTGGTGGTGGTGCAGCTCTTTAATTTCAGCACCCAGGAGGCAGAGGCAGGTGAATTTCTGTGAGTTTAAGGCCAGCATGGTTTACAAAGAAAGTTCCAGGACAGCTAGGGCAACACAGAGAAACCCTGTCTTGAAAAACAAAACAAAAGAAAACAGAAGAATGATGGTTGGGGCCAGAGAGATGGCTCAGTGGTTAAAAGCACTGGCTGTCTTTCCAGAGGACCCACCTTCAGTTCCTGACACACACCATCAATTCTAGTTCCAAGAGATCTGATACCTTCTCCTGAACTTTAAGGGCACCTGTTAATACACATATACTGGCAGGTCAAACACTCATACACAAAAGGTAAAATAAAAAAAAAAAAACGAATGGTGGTAGCCCTAGGGGTCCCAGGAGACAGGAGTGGGGGTGTTGCCACCTCACCCAGTGTTCTGGGCTCTCCTCCATGTAAGAAGCCATCTCTCTGGCTCTGAAGGTTTTGCTATTTTTCCTCCTTATGCTACCCACCAGACTCCCTTCTCCTCCTCAGTTAGCTCAGTTCCTCATTCCTATCTTAGTGTCCGGGAGGGGGGACGTGTTTTTAGAAGATGGGTGGTTCCTACTCGGCCACAAGGGGGTGCTGGGTTAGAGCAGGCCCCAGTGGCACACAGGTGGCAGGCGGCAGCAGAACCCTGAGGCTAGGTACATATGGCTCCACCCCTTTTGTCCAGGACCTTTGCTCCTGGCCCTAAAGGCACTGGCCCTGGGTTGCCATGGCAGGCTCTTAGTTTGGATAAACAGAGTCGTCCTCGTGCCGTCCAGGTAACTGACATCTAAGTGTCTCCCAGGGATAGGCTGGAATTTAAGAGTCCAGCCCCTAAACCCCCAGGGGAGGACAAAGGAGGGTGAGTCATTGCATTTTGGCCCCTGACCTTTTTTTTTTTCTGTCTTGCCTGCTGCCCCCTCACCCAACCTGTGTCCTACTAGAGTTGGGAAGGGAGGGAGAGAAGAGCTGAAGCTCACTTGGGGGACGTCAGAACAGGCAGTGCGTGGGGGCGAAGGCTTCTGCCCTGCTACCCAGGCTTTAGCTGTTATTCCTGGGATCCACGAGGGGCAGACATTGCTCACTTCTTCCCTGTCCTCCACTGTCTAGGATCCAGAGCAAGGGCGACGAGCTTGGGAGGAAAACAGAGAACAGGAGTTGTCTGGGTAGAACTGCTCACATCTCGCTCCGCTGAAGGGAACGCGGAGGGCCTTGTGCTGAGGACGGTGCTGGGGTCTGCAGTGTGGGAGCTGTGGACACAGAACCCAAACCCCTGCTCGAACACTACCCACCATTCACAGCGCGAACTGCTCCGCCAAGTCCTGGGTTCCTCACACGTAAATAAGGATAATAATACTGAACTCGCAAGGTCATTGTCAGAATCTGACAGGACAAATAAAGAACACCACGGTCCACACATGGATGAGGCTTACAATCAGACGCAGAGCGCAGCTATGCAAACAGCAAGCAAAACCCATCCAGGGTGACTGGCCTGTCAGGAGGGTCCCAGGGGTGGCTTCTCGCCGGCTGCTGGGAGGAGGGGCTGTTATGTCGTGTTCCTTCAGCAAATGTTTGCAGTGTATGGGACTGGCAGGGAGGGTCAGGCTTCAGCTGCAGGTGCAGGTGGCCAGGAGGCACTGTATGAGGGAGGGCACAGCCCTGAGAGGAGGCTGAGAGTGGCAGTCAGTGCCAGCGGACAGATGAGAGACGTGACCTTTATTCAGAATGTGATGGGAAGCTCGGGGCTGGGGAGTGACTGGATCAGAGCAGTGTTTGTAGAAGATTGGCCTCCCTTAGCACTGGCAGAGGACAACTTGGAGCGAGTGGGGGAGGAGGAGACAGGAACATTTCCTTACCTGGCAAGAGAAAGTGTGGCTCCAGAGAGGACGGTGATGTCATCGATACCACCTGCAGAGAGGGGCCTAGTGAGCTCTGTCTCCCTGACTGGCCACACTGGCCTGTTGGGAGGGAAGAGGCGCTTGGCAGGGGGCTGGGGGAATTTCTCAGGGACACCAGGAACCAGAGAACAGAGCCTCTTTTCTCTCCCTTCTCTCCTTCCAGGTCTGCTTAGGATGAAGGCGGGACAGGGGGCACAGCCCTGGCAGCAGGCTGTCCCTTTGTTTCCCAACCCTGCTTCTAAGTTGGATCTTAGGTTTTATAACGCACAGAAAGAGAAACCACTGGGTTCCATTAACAACTGGGTGTCAACTCTAGATTTTAGAACGAGGAAAAATTGAGGGACAGTTTGTACCTGGGTTTGCTGGGAGAGGAATTTTTGGCTTAGGGCTGGCTGGTAAGACTCTGGCCTTCCTGAGAATCGATCACCTGGTCCACCTCTTCACCCCACTGTGCAGAGAGGCAGGTCCCCTCTGCTCCCGTTTCATTCCAGAAGGATCACACATCCGGCAGTGAGTCAGGTGTGCCTCAGGCCCCAGCCCTGGGCTCTGACTCAGCCTGAGCTCCGGGAACCTCAGAAGAGCCTGGGAGATAAGGTTTATGGCTCCTACAGCACTTGTTTGGGTAAAGCTCTGCACACAGGCCACCCAGCCGCATTCCACCGGCGGGGCAGGGGGATGGCTTACTCAGGCTACCCCAGGAATTCAGACTGTCTGACAGCTCTGCTTTCAGAAGCCCACTGAGCTTCTCAGTCTCTGGAGGTCATTTCTCTAGGTCCCCAGGCCTTGTCCTGTGGAGGCTTGTCCCACCCACCATGTGTTTGGCTTCTGGGCAGGCCTGGCCCTGACAAGACTCTCCCTTCCTTTGCAGGTCACTCCTCTCAGTTCCAACAGAGTTTGGTTACAGGGAGGCCTTTCTTATTCTATCCTTTTGCTCCTTTTCGGTGCTTTGTAGAAGAAAGGACTCTGCTGAAGGCACAGGATGCCAGTGCACTGAGAAACAAAACTGAGGCAGACTATAGAGCTCTGCTGAGCCTGGACCTTTTTAGTTGAGGGGAGTTAGACAGGAGGCAAATAGCAGCGGGTGTGTGTGTGGGATGGACCACAGAGAAAAAAATATATATAATTTATGTATTTATTTGAAACAGAGTCTCACAGAATGGTCCTGGCTGCCTGGAACTTGCTCTGCAGACCAGGATGTCCGTAAACTCCCAGAGATCCCCCACACACATTGTGCTGGGACTAAAGCATGCTGTACAACTATCTGACTGGAAAAACTTCTTCTAAAAAATAATTTGTTTACTTTTATTTCATTTGCATCGATATTTTGCCTGCATGTATGTCTGTGTGAAGGTGTCAGATCTTAGCATTAGACAGTTGTGAGCTGCCACGTGGATGCTGGGAATTGAACCTCGGTCATCTAGAGGAGCAGCCAGTGCTTGTAACTGTTGAGCCATCTCTCCAGCCCCTGAACAAAACCTTCTAATGTGAATTTTGTTTTACACAAGAGAGCACATGTGCGATAGGCCCAGTCTAAGCTGATGCTTTCTCCATGGTGTCTGCTGTAGGCCTGAAAGGAGACGGAACTCTTTCAGCTAGCTCAGCAACTTAGAGACTCGCTGGGACTAGAACACAGGTCATTTCATTCCCAAGAGGAATTTTCTTGCTAGTTTACGTTGTTCTGTATATTAGGATAATTCTAAAAGCGAAAATTGTACTGAAGTTTGGTTAAAGTTTTTAAAAAAAACGCTTTTTATTTTTTTGATGGGGTCTCACTATGTAGCTCTGGCTAGCCTGCACTCTCTATAGACCAGGCTGGCCTGTGCCTCCCTGTTGCTGGGACTAAAGGCATGTACTACCACTCCTGGCACTATATTTTAATTAACGTGTGTAGAAACACCAACATCATGGTGTCCTTGTGAAGGTCTGAGGACGAGGGACCAAACTCGGGTCGTCAGGCTTGGTAGCCATACTTTATCCTCTGAGTCATCTTCCTGCCTTGAATTTTGTTTGATTTGAGTCACAATCCCTAAAACAAGAGTATTTTAACCACAAATCCTAGTGTTCTTTGGAAGTGTGTGGTGGGAGTTTTTGAACAGGGCCCAGATCTGGCTTTCGCTAGCTCCTAGATTTAACCACCGTGCTCAGATTCCTCAGCTCCAGAGTGCATGTTTTGCTTATTTCTCATTTTCTGTACAGATTACCACCTTAAGGGAACCCTAGGCCATGGGGTGTCTGGACCCATGTCCAGGCCTTTAATGTCCTGTGGAAATGAGACATGGATGCTCAGGGCTGGAGGACTAGAGGGAGTCCATGCTGGAGGCTTCCTGGAGGAGGTTGTGGGCAGAGCCAAGCTAGAGGTATGGGGTGGGGTACAAGGAGGCCGGTGAGAGGGTAGAACTCCAGAGGTAGAGAGGTTTCCTGAGGCGCTGTCAGTCAAGAGGCACAGGGTCAGGCCAGGGGGAATACGGAATGACTAGATGTGGAGGACACTGGGGCCATGTGTCCACAGCTCTGGGAGCATGACTAGGAAACTGGGTGTGGGGGGCAGTTGGAGGCTTCCGACTGAGGAACACTGGCCTGGGGGTTGAGTCCCTTCCCTTCTCTTTTTGGGGCTTTCCCTACGGTTTCTGGGTTCCTCAAACTGCTTATCCGTCACTAGCAACTCTTAGGTGTTCCCTGGATATCACCTGGGAAACCGGGAGAGGCCAGAAGGAAGAGAGAGGGTGGGTTATGGGGACTGGATGTTGAAGGTCTGTCAGGAATGCAGAAACTGCATAGTGACTTGTGTTGCCATGGGAGCATGTCTAACAAGTCCTAGAGGCTAAACTGGCTCAGGCTGGCCCTAATGCAGTCCAATCTCACTGTCTAAGTCAACAGATTTTTCTTTAAGACCTATGAATGGGCCACTGTGTGTGGATTTGGAGTTATCTCCACCCTTAGAGAATCTGAAAGATAGGTGGGTTAGAGGGTAGTAGGTAGCAGGTCAGGTCTTTCTTTAGTTAAACTCCTCTTGCATTCTTTCTCCCTCCCTTCCTCCTTTCTTCTCTCCATCCTCCCAGGTAGGGATGAAAACCCATCTTCAGGCTAGGAAGCATTCCACCACTGGGCTTTATTCCTGGCCCTGTCTGTCTTGTTTTATCATGGTAGAGAAGGCCAAGTCAGCTTTTGGATTTACTCAGTCAGCACGTTCTGGAGTCCAGCGAGGCGTTTTCTCATGTTGTAGGTATGCAGTTTGCAAGGTAGTCATGGTTTCTGTTGTATGTCGCATTCCACAGCACTGGACAGAGGTCCCTCAAGTCTGCTGGAACCTTTAGTGGGCAGAAGAGTTTTGAGGCTCACGAGACGGTGGTTGTATGAGTAGATGGGCTCTATACCACTTTGGGTTTGAGAGTGTTTCTTTTGCTCTACTGACATGTATTGCATTTTTTCCCTATTGCTTTATTTTTCAAATTGCATTTATTTCTTTATGTGAATATGTGTGTGAGAAAGGGCACATGCACCATGGGACTTGTGGAATTAGTTCTCCTTGTCTACCATGTAGACCCTTCTTGGCAGCAGGTATCTTTGCCCGCTGTGCCCACTGAGCCATCCTGCCAACCCTACTATTATTTCTTTTCTTTTCAGTTCCAGGCTGTCCTAGAGCTCGCTCTGTAGACCAGGCTGGCTTCGAACTCAGAGAGATCCTCTTGCTTCTGTCTGGGATTAAAGGTGTGAGCCACCACTGCCCAGTGATTACAGCTTCTTTTTTTTTTAATTTCTTTATTTTATATACATTGGTGTTTTTTCTTGCATGTAGGTGTGAGGGTGTCGGTTCTGGAGTTACAGACAGTGATTAGCTGTCATGTGGGTGCTGAGAATTGAACTCAGGTCCTTTGGATGAGTAGCCAGTGCTTCTAACCACTGCGCCATCTCTCCAGACCTGACTATTGCTTCTTCTCATGGAGACAGTTGAACAGGTGTCTGAAGTGGGACCCCTGAAGAGAGCACACTTAGCCTTTGGAAGCCTGGGTGTGGCCCAGGATCCGACCGCACTGCTTTGGCAGGAGGAGTTTTGAACTTTACTGTTCCTATTTGCAGGTGGGAATGCCGCCTTCCTCACTGGCTGCCTTAGGGTTCTATGTCGTGTATAAGAGACACTCAGAAGAGAGCCATCATTGTCACTTTATTTCCTGCCGCCTTCACTATTGGCAGGGACAAGGGTCAGCAGGCAGGGCACTGTTTGCACGGCTCGCTCCCTGGGAACTGGATTTGCAAGCGTGGATTTTGCATGGAGGCAGATTTTTGCCTATTATCTCTTTGTTACAGCCCTATAGAACCCTTCTTATCACTCCTTTTAGGTACTCAATCCTCACTGCAAAGGTTTTTCTTCAGTCATCTCTCGTTGCCCAGCAGGTGCTGCAGAGGAGACGCTGGACGTTTCTGCAGAGGTGCTGAGAGTTCAGCTCCTGCGAGTTGAGACGACTGTTGTGTCCATTGTTCTCATTTGCTCTCTGAAGGACGTGCTCTGCTCATTTTGGGAGCACCGAAAGGACTCCCAGAGAGGTTAAGTAACATGCTCAACTTCACACAAGAAGTTCTTCAGATGGCTCCTGTTCTGGGGTCTTGGCCCTAGCCACAGCAGAACTTTTGAGAAAAGCCAGGGGCATTCCCCTGTCTCAGTTATGTGAGCTTTAGTTGTGTCATAGACGCCCCTTTTCTCGCTGCTGCACTTCTTGAGATCAGTTGTAGAAATTGAATTAGAGCTGGAGACTAGGGACATAGCTCTGCGGTAGAGCCCAGCATCCCCGACCCCAAAGTGCTGCTGTTTTCAAGTGTGGCGTGATCAGCATGGGAGAAATAGGTCACTGGCATTGGCCTCTGTGAACTACTGAGTATACGCTAGCCTTTGACACACTATCCAGCTGCTCCACTCTTCCAGAGGGAGTTTTGTGCTTGCCCGGTGGCTTTTTACATTTCCAGATCTTTCCATCCATCTTACTTTTGGGTTTCTGTTTGGTTTTTATACATAGCCCTGGCTGTTCGGAACCTCACTATGTAGATCAGGCTGGCCTCAGATTCACTTGCCTCTGCCTCCAGAGCGCTGAGATTAAAGATATGTGCCACCCTGAGTTCTGTTTTTGTTTTTCTGGTGCTGGGGATTGAGCCTAGGACTTCACAATGAAGACAGGTACTTTACCACCAAACTTTCCCTCCTGTCTTCACACCTTACTTCTCTAAATTGGGTGTGATGGTTCCTGGGAGAGGAAGCTGAGGCTGGGGCATTGCTACGTGTTCAAGGCCAGCATGGACTATGTTATAGAGTCTGTCTTTTCTTCTAAATCCAGCTTGCTCAAGGGTCCCCTTGCCCCCAAAGTTCTAGGGAACATGTTTTAATCCTTTATTTATCTAAAGTCAATATTTTGTTGGCAAGGCACCAGAGGCTGGCTCACTGTGTAGCTTTCACGTCTTTATCTGTGTACATTTAGGTTGGTGAACATCTGCTGTTTTTGCCTGCTGCTCCCGGCATCCCCCCCCCCCTTTTGGTGAATCATCTCTTTTCCCTCCTGCCATTAGTTTGGGTAGGCCTGACTCCCTCCCCCTTTCCCAGGAACTCTAGCTCAAATGACAGCATTTTATTATTCTCCTGACTGAAGTCTTGGTTCAGCGACAGGCCTGTGACCTGCCAGCCCAAGGAGAGGGGCCCATGGACCTTCAGCTGGAAGATTCTGGAAATGAACACTCCCTTGGTGGTATCCATCCTTATCACAGCCTGGAGACGGCCCCGCTGAGAAGGAGACCAAAAGAGAAGGAAGCAGCCATTGAGTCCCTTTGGCTAGAGTGCAAGTCTAATGCACCCTTCCCAATTGTGAGAGCAAATAAAGGACCGTGGATGCTGGAGCTGTCATGTGCTGCCAAGAGCCTAGAGCTATAGCTCGTGCTGTGTGTTGCACATATGCTTTATGTATTGCTGCACATGTGTGCACATGTGATAGGGAAAGGAAGGCAGTATTTATGCGTCTGAGATGATGAGTGGCGGGGGAAGAAAGGGTGGCACTCATGCTCGTATGCATCATTGGGATGCAAGGTGGCTGCCCTCCTTGGGATATGTGCATGGGCCACACGTATGAGAAAGGGCAGAACTTGTGTGTGTGTGTGTGTGTGTGTGTGTGTGTGTGTGTGTGTGTGTGCACGCATGTGTGCATATGAGGGATGGAGGAGCTCGGAGGTAAATTGAGGTTGTGTGGCATGTGAGTTGCTTTTCTGGGAGAGAACCCGAGGTCCTTCCCAGCTTTGTGTTCATCTGTATACATACTCCCCAAAGCACTTGCTCTGCCAGGCCAGCAGGATGGCTCAGCCACAAAAGCCATTGCTGCACAGACGTGGTGACCTCAGTTTGATCTCCAGAATCCGCCTTCAGCAGCTTACCCACATGCTGTGCAACCTCAGCTTGACCACACACACACACACACACACACACACACACACACACCCCTTACACGAATACTACTAATAATTAAAAACAACAGCCTGTGCATTAGCATCAGTTCCACCCAACTAGAACTCCTCATTGCTTTCCAATGACCAAAAAGACTCATGAAACTTGGGTGGATGTTGGTGAAGCTGTAAGTGTCAGACACAGTTCAGACACACCCATGAGTATCGCAGGAGGAAGCTGACAGGTAGGACCTATGGGGCACAGGAAGAGTCTCCCAGATCAGAGGCAAATAGATGGACTGGTGGGCAGGGCTGGCCTTGGGGCACTCCCTTTCCAGGAGACTCCCTTGGCCTTTCCTCTTCAAGACTGCAGTTGCTTTTATGGCTGGTGATTTACTAAGGCTCTGTCATATATGAGTTTGTGGCCTCCAGCTCTGATCTGGGCCCCTGATGTCTAGCCTTGTCTCCAAGGCAGCCCTGGCTGTGCCTGTTTCTTTGCTCTCTAATGCTTCTTGTTCCTGCTTCTATGCCTCACTACACAAACCAGAGCGATCTCCCTAAGCCAGTCCCTGGCCAGGGTGTCTGACGGCATAGCTGTGCAGAGTGGGCTCTGACCACATTGGCCATTAAATGTGTATCCCAAAGCGCCCTGTCTTCTTACCCTCTGGTCCCTATTCACTCCCCTCTCCCTACACCCAGTATCAAAACCCTTCTGTTCTCCATCCTGCCACACAGAAATGGTCATTTTGTGTATGACACTACTGTGCAGAAGGTCACAGTGGTCTGAGACACCTCCCAAAGGCCACCCTGTCACTGTCTTCTCCTTTATGTCTGCTTTGAATGTGTCACTGACCCTGCCTGTGCCCCTGGAAAGCAGGAAAGGACCCTTTTCTTTACCTGGGGACAGGCCATTGGTTCTGAGCTTACCATATAGTCCAGGCTGACCCTTGAACTTGCTACGTTGCTGAAGGTGACCTTGAACTTCTGATACTCTTGCATCTACCACCAAGAGGTAAGATTACAGGTTCACCGCCACACTTATTGTGTGTGGTACCGGGAGTGGGGCTTCCATACATGCTGGTCAGGTACTTTTCCAACTGAACAACTCTGGCCCCAATTGTCTCTTTCTTGAATAGCCCAGAATATCCAGAGCCAGAGGCATTTGCATCTGATTTGTTAGCTTCCTTGTCCTGCCCTGGCAAGTTATGGGGTATCAGGGCATTCAGAGATCCCCATGAATCACAGGCATTTAGGTGGGTGATTGGAAGATGTTTTTCCAACTACAAAAGACTTCCCTTTCTAAAGGATGGGCCTAGGATATTCCAAGGGATGGGAAAGAAAGGAGGAGAAGGTCAAATGGAAACTTGGAAGTTTTCATTGTAGATCAGGTGGGCTTCAAATGTCAGTGGTGTGAAGAACACGTGGCCGCCTCACCCAACACAGGGTTCTCCAGTTTTCTTGGGCCCAATGGCACTGCTCTTCCCATCAACTATAGCTGTTCACAGTCTCTCTTAGACTCCGTCTTTCTGGGCGTCCATCTCGCACTGTTAAATTCTCGTACAACTTGCCTTGTTCTTCATCGCCCTATGGAGAGCCCGTCAAGTCCTAAGCAGGGAGACAGAGCCACACAGCTGTATGATTTTGGACAGGTTTCATTCATTCATTCACCCATTCATTCTTGTTTGTGTGCATACACATGCCATGGTGTGCCTGTGAAGGACAGAGGACAACTTGTGAGAGAGTCAGTTCTGTCCTTCTACCTTTTCTATAGCATTCTTATAAATGGTTTTCGAGACGGTGCTTTCCCCTGTGTTGCTCTGGCTGTTCTGTAATCCTCGAACTGGCCTCGAACTCAGAGATCCGCCTGCCTCTGCCTCCTAAGTTTTGGGATTAAAGGCGTGTGCCACCACTGCTCAGCTACTACAAGGCATTTATAATACAAGGCATCTCCTGGTGCCATATAAGTGTCATTGTGACTGTACTAGAATGAACACTTCCTGGGCTTGCTTGCTCTCTTTTGGGTAGTCAGTCCATTTCCATCCTGGGTTTTATCATCAGAGCCATGACCTACCATGAAAAAAAAATCCATCAGCTAAACCTGGTGGCCCCAGTCTGTAATCCCTCCCGTCTGTCTAGAAGATTGAGACAGGAAGTGACAAGAGCAACCTGGATGACAGAGAGAGTTCAGGCAGGCAAGGGCGAGTTGTGAGACTGTCTCAAAATGCAGACAAGACTGAAGAGAGGCTGGGACTCTAGCTCCTTGATGGAACACTTGACCGCCACACACATCTCTGTTTGTTAGGCATGGCAATGAGCAACTTCACCGTGAGGCTCACAGTACACACTTGCCAGCAATCTTCATTACTAATTCTGTGGCTTGCAGATGGCTGTCCACGCCATCTGTGGCTTCCTATTTAAATTGTTCAGCTGCCTCAGTGTACCCCCGGCTATTTATATGCTGCCGCCTATCAATATTTAAAATCGTTCCATTGTTCAAAGTGACTTGACTGCCTTTAGGACACCATCCTCGTGCAAGGACAGCTTTTGCTTTTCCTCCTGTTTCTAGCCGCAGGTCTGGTCTACAAACTTAAGTGTTCCTTATATGGAACTCACTTATGCTTCTGAGTGCCCCCCCCTCTATTTTCCCCCTCTCAGACAGGGTCCTTGTATCTCAGGTTGGCCTTAAACTCAAAATGTAGCTGAGGATGACCCTGAACTTCTGTTCCTCCTGCCTTCACCTCCCGAGTGCTGGAATTATAGGCGTGGACGCCACACCCCGTTTATGTGGGCTGGCACCAAACCCAGGGTTTGTGGTGTGCAAGGCAAGCAACTGAGCTACCTTCTTAGCCACTAATCTTTTCCTCTTTTTCAAAAATTGATTTTTAAAATTACATTTACTTGTGTGTGGGTGTGCAGAGACTGGAGGGAGCTGCTTCTTAACAGAGGGAGAATGCGGCCTCCTTTCCCCATAGCTCTGGGGACAAAAGAGCAGAGCAGGACAGAGCTGTCTGTGCAGGGGACACTCACCTCATCACAAGCGTGTGCGTCACTTTGCTGTGACCACAGTGGCCAGAGACTGCCTTACAAGGAGCTGTACCTTTGGCTGCCCCAGGCTGGTTCTTTCTCCCCTGACCACTTGGCCGTAGTCCCTGGGGCCTTTCCCTTCTACCTCTGCCCCTGAGAAGTTCTAGGCAGAAGCCTTTGGAGAGAGCAGCTCTGGTCTTTCTTGATGAGCAGGGGTCATGCTGGGAGGGGTTGGTTGGGGTCTCTGGGCACTAACAGGAAGTTGACAAGCGATATGCAATTTTTTTCTGGCCCAGGAATGAGGGGCGCCTCCTCTGTGAGCTTTGGGTTGATGTTCTAGTCTACACAGCTTGGGGACTTTTCCATTATGTCCCTTTGTTCTCACCTTAAGAGACACTAGGACCAAGGAGTCAGGTGTGGAGGAAGCTGAGATTTCAGGAAGGGTGCTGGGTGGCTAGCTTTTGTGTCCAGATCAATTCTTTAGGAGCATTTCCCCTTCTGGTCCCTCCAAAAGTGTGGGGGAAGGGACGAAAGGGAGAGCTAGCTGTCTGTCCCTCCTCAGGGCTGCCATACCTGTCTGACCAGCCCTCCTTTTCTCTTCCGTTTTCTCTCACTGCTTTGGCATCAGCCCCAGTTTCCTCCCTTCAGTTTGCTGGAAGAAAAAAGTCTCTAGTCTTGCTGGGTGTGGGCCTGTATTGAGAGCGGGTGGTGAACACACGCCCAAATCGCTTTCCACCTTAAAATGGAGTGCTGTTTCAGGGGCTGATAGGTGGCCTGGTGTAATAGGTTCGAACTGGATTTCCCTCTTCCTAGCATGCTGGAAAGCTAAGATGGGGGACTGAGGGCTGGGCTAGAGGCAGAAGGCATGCAAGGAAGCCGCATGGTCATTGCATGCCCTTTGGAATTTCTAGAAAGGCCTTTCTGGAAGTGACTTCAGGTGTGTGTGTGTGTGTGTGTGTGTGTGTGTGTGTGTGTGTGTGTGTTGTAGTGTACTGTGAAAGGAACTTGTCTGTGTGTGTCTAGGAGTGGATTTCTGGGTCTCTTTTCGTAGGGGCCTATATGTGCCTGTATATGGTGGACTTCTGGGATCTTGGGTGTTTTCCTGGAGAAGGGGCGCGATCCATAGATTGCTCTCCTAGAGAGGCTGTTTACCCCCTTTCACTGTTTTGTGTTTTAAGGGTTCTGCCATCTACCCTGAC